TCCTCCCCTCCACAATCGACCAAGTCTCAGGTTTGCCACTGTACAGTACTACAGTAGTCGTACAGTAGTACAGTAGCAGTAGGAGTAGTAGTAGTAGTAGCAGCAGCAGTAGTAGTAGTAGTAGTCGTCGTCGTCGTAGTAGTAGTAGTAGTAGTAGTAGCAGTAGTAGTAGTAGAAGTGGTAGTCGTAGTAAAAAAGTAGAAGAGTAGAAGAGTAGCACAGTACTACAGCACTAGTACAATAGTCTACGGTAGCAGCACTACAGTAATAGTCAGTAGGGTTAAGCTTTTAGGGTTTAGGGTTAAAGGGGGTTTACGGTTTAGGGAGGGCTCCGGGATTCAGGGAAACAAATTTTGGGTGCCTTAAGATTAACAATTCGCAGAACAGAGGCAAACAACAAAAATTCAGCCGGCCCAAAAAACGCATTAACTATAAAGGACACCCAAGGTTTTGGTAGGGGCTTGTATAAGCCCGGCCCCAAATGCATAATGCAGGCCCACTCGCGTAAAACCGCCACATGAAGTTTACCGTAAAACCGCGAACCTCAAATCCTGAAGCCCTCAACTTAACAAATAAAAATACAGCCTCAAAAGAGCCTGGAGCTGATCAAACGTACAAACACAGCCTCAAAAGAGCCTGGAGAAGAACAAATGTGCAAACACAAAGCGAATTCACGTGGACCGAGTTCAGAAGCTCCTTGAAGCCTTCGGCCCCGAAAAGTTACAGCTGATCGAAACGTTTCGGGATAGGGTTTAGGGTTTAGGGTTTAGAGTTTAGGAAGTCTTGGTACGATGACTCACCATGCGACATGCTAAAGGAATGATCGAATTCACGAATCAGTTCGATCAGACTACAGTACTTCCCGGCCCTCTACAAACTACATGATAGCAAGCAACACCTGGAGGGAGATATCTAAACTCTAGATACTTGATTAGCAACCTCGAGACATGCAACCCTCTGAGAACTCCTGAAACGCAAAACCTTGCAACCTTCCTCATAAGTTTTCCGAGCCATAAACCCTAGACACAGAACCCAAAACGATTTGAGACCTTCCTAGATCACACTACTATAGAGCTCCGAATTGCAGAAACTTGAAATCGAAACTCAGAGGCCGAAGCCCTACCCCCTGGCCCACAAAATATCAAGCCTCAGCCCTAAACCAAGCCTTCTTCGGGAACTCTGCCGCAGGCTTTGCCGGGGGGGCGGGCTCCTGCTTGAGTGCCTCAAGGAGATTAGGGCTTACGTTTGATACAGGGTTTAGGGTTTCGGGTTCAGGGTTTAGGGTGATAAGGCTAATGCTAATGCTGATGCAAATACTGTTGCTACCAATACCGATACTAATATATATATATATGTATGTATATATATATATATATGCTGATACTGATACTAATACTGGTACTGACACTGATACTTTTATTAATATTCGTACTAACCATTACTAGTACTAATACCAATACTAAGCAGACAAAATATTCATGATCCCAGTAATCATAAAACTTTTGTTATTTATTAAAAACGAGACTATTTAACAATCTATATACGGTGCGGAGGACTTTCACTCTCTGCCATAACAGGCCTGCATACAGGCGGGCACTAAAAAGCCGCTGCCAAAATCTGACGAAGATGCGACACGGGTAATTAAGCGTTTGAAGTTTAGGGTTTGGGGGTAAGTTATACTAGTTCATCGAGGGTTTGGGAGTTTAGGGTGTAGGTTTGAATTGGCATGCACTCGGCCAGCGTCCCCAAGGAGTACTTGCAGCTCGCCCGGATCATGCCGCAACCCACAGGACGAGGAGCGTCGTCGTCGCAAGCTCCACTCGATGCTTGTGAAACCCTAAACCCCTAAACCCAAAACCCAAAACCCCAAAACCCAAAACCAAAACCCTAAACCCAAAACCCAAAACCCCTAAAACCCTAACCCCTAAATACCCTAAGCCCGCATTCGACGGGAAGCAGGCACATCTCTTGCCACTTCGGTGGCCAGGTCTGGGGGCCAGGTGTTTCAACCCATCCATCACGCCTTTGCTCATTTAGGGTTTAGTGTTTAGGGTTTAGGGGATTAGGGGTTTAGGGTTTAGGGTTTAGGGGTTTAGGGATTAGGGGTTAGGGTTTAGGGGGTTGGGGGTTTAGGGTTTAGGGTTTAGGGGTTTAGGGGTTAGGGGTTAGGGTTTAGGGCCAGACAGAGCTCTTGGAGGGCTTTTGGGGTCTTGCTGCAAGAGGATTATATATATATATACATACATATACACACACACACACACATCGGGGCTGTTATGAGGCTCAGTATTTGCTGTGAGAGCCCCGAACATAGGTCCCCAAACACCCTGAACCCCACATACCAAAACGACCCTGCTTGATTTTCAAGCTTCATTGGACTGCGTGGGGTCTCGCAAGCAGTAAATCAGCACCCTAAGCCCAAAGCTCATACATCCTAGCTCAGACATCCTCAACCCGGACAGGCAGAAAGGTTGACAAAGAGCTCCTGGAGTCATCTCTAGCACACCCGCTCGTAGTAGTGGTGTAGCAACTGCAATGCTCGTGGTCACAATGTTCAACTGAAGAAAAACTCAACAGCTAATGTGCCAATCTCGCTTGCTGACAGACACGGAATGAACCTTGATCCCACAATGCACAAGTCAGAAACATGCAAAGTTCCAATGCCCATAAACTATAAACCCGATCCATGAACGCTCAAATCCCGGCGATATAAGTCTGCCTGAGCAGCACCCCGAACCCCCTCTAAGCTTTACCCGCAGCCATAGATCCTCCCCGGACTGTTCAAGGCTTTCCATCTCAAGCAACCACTCTGCCATGTTGTAGGCCCAGGATTTGCCTAGCTTCTTACGTAGAAGCATGAGTTACCAGTGTAAGCTTGAATTTCGGTTTGCAGTTTCGTCATTGATGTTGCTGACAGCGAGTTTCTCAAGACTCAGGCTGCCTTGGCTGGTGCTTTCGCGGTCGTCGGCACAGCCACAGCCGCCTTCATCAGCTGAGATAAGGGTAAATAAGGCTTAGGTTTGGGGATTATGTTGAACGATTAACGGAATCGTGGGATGCGAGTTAAGTTCCACACCTACCAACCTACCTACCTCTGCCTGCCTGCCTGCCTGCCTGCCTGCCTGCCTGCCTGCCTGCCTACCTACCTACCTACCTACCTACCTACCTACCTTTCTACATACATACATACATACATACATACATACATACATACGTAGATGCATACATACACACACATACATACACACATGCAGACAGACAGACAGACAGACAGACAGACAGACAGACAGACCGACAGACAGACAGACAGACAGACAGACAGACAGACAGACAGACAGACAGACAGACAGAGGTATGTAGCAAAACAC